CTTCTTGTTATTTTCCTAAAAGAGTTAAAAGCATTATATCACAGAGATATAACATATTCATTTTTATAGCAATGCAACTTGTAATAGCTAAATCTTGGAAACAGCCCAGATGCCCAGGACTGGATGAATGTACAAAGAAAATGTGTTTAAGAATATATATATAATGGAGTGCTACTCTGCCATAAAGAAGAATAAATTCTGAGACACTTTTAGGTACCTTGGGACCATACTGTTTAATGAAATAAACCAGACATACATGTTTAAATACTGCGTTGTTTCCCTTGTATGAGAAACCAAAAGCACAAATGACCAAACAGGTGATAGATATTGAAAAGTAGGATGAAAATGTTCAAACAGAAAGGGGGAAAAGGAATGGAGGCAGGGGGAAGGGAAGGATGGGGGAAAAAAGGAGGAGAAAAGGAAAAATAGAAACAAAGCTTTTGAAAAGAGGGTAAGAAGAGTGAAAGAAGGAGAGGGAATGGGGAGAAATGAATAATCAAGATATATTATGTACAGGTATTAATATCCTATAATGAATGTTCTTTATGAATTATGAAAGTGTACTAATAAAATTAATTTTAAAAAACAGAAATAAAAGATACCACGATCATAAGTCTGTGTAAGTTAAAAAAATCTAGGGATAGAGAGAGATTCAAAGGAAAGAGTCATATTTCTGCTGGCCTAGAAGAATACAAACATCCATGTTATAAACCAGCTACACATCACAAAGGCAAGAAACTGCAGGTAGCCTCTAAGGGCCAAGAGTGGGCCCTAAGAAAATGGGGACTTACAGGAAAGTGAGTTCTCTTAGCAACCTAAATGAGCTTGGAAAATGGATCTCCAGTTTTAGTTAAAAACTACTGCATAGCTGATATTTTGATGGTACTTGTAGACACCCTAAAGTATGCTATGCCTGGACTCCTAATTCATGGCAATTGTGAGGTAACAAATCTGTGTTGTGTTAAACCACTAAATTTGTGGCTTAGAATGATAGCAATAAAGACTACAGTATTATGAACAGGGCATGGTGGCACACAGCTGCACTCCCAGGTAATCTAAGGCTGAGGCAGGAGGATCACTTAAGCCCGGGAGCTCAGGACTACCTTGGAACATACAACAAGATGCCTTTTTAAAAATAAATAAAATGAAGTAAAATAAGGAAAGGAAGCCAGGAATGTGAAAGAAGGAAAGAGCAAAGGAGGGAGGGAAGAAAGGAAGGATGGTTTTTCAGCTCATGTAATGTCCATGAGCTATATGCCTGTTGTATACATCAGTGGTTTGTCATTTTTACAGTCAAGCTGCATTCTTGCGTACAAATACTCCACATTTTCTTCTTGACTACCACCAAACTCACTGAATTTGATGCATTTTTTGGACTGTCTCTACAGTCATCTTTACAAAATGCAAATCAGATTATATTACTCCTCTTGCACTCCTTTAATTGCTCTTCACTGCTTACAAGATAAATGATGTGCTCCAGAGCAAGATCTTCCTGAGCCCCCTTGCCCTAGTCCCTGTTGCCCTCTCGAAACCCACATAAACATACACTTACTTGTACCTCCAGTGCCTTTTCTATAGAGTTTTTATATGTGAATATATTTAAATTGAGAAGAAAACTGGAAATTGCAGGAAATCGTTTCTGCTTCAGAGTATTATATAGCCTGTAGGAAGAGTCTAGATGACTTCCAAACAACCTATACATTTTGGAACTGACAACAATAAATACCAAAATGTACTTTGCAGGTATAATGTGATCATTATCACACTACAGTACAACTAAATCATTCAAAGAGTAACACACAAATGCATGGTTTTTATGAATAAGCTATCACATATATAAGTTTCTATACTTATACTCTTCATTCACTATTTATTAAATACAGATATTATTTACTGGCTTCCTGTCCCCATAAATGAGAATTTGGTTCAATTATACCATTTCTTATCTTTTTCTGCTGAATCAGGTGGCTTGTGACATCAAAAAAAACCTTAAAATACATTTTTTTCTTTCTGAACTTTAGCATTTCTTCATGTTAATCTGTTTAGCCTTCTCCAATTTCTTTTCTTTTCTTTTTTCTTTTTTTGGCAGAACCCCGGGAACTGAACTCAGACCATTGCGCTTGCCAGGGAAGTGTTTATTCTACTGAGCCATCTCCCCAGTCCCTTCCAATTTCTAATAGTTATGCCTTTACTTTTACATTGCTATAGTCAATATTTATAATTTATTTTGAAATTATAAAACATTGTCTATGTCATTTGTTTCTGAAATGTACATGTTAAAAGGTGTTTATGGGGGCCGTGGAGATAGCTCAGTAGAATAAGCGCTTGCCTGGCAAACGCAAGGGCCTGAGTTCACTCCCCAGTTCTGCAAATAGTATTCATGTTGTAATTATATAAAGCAGTGAAAATTATGATTAAATTACAATTATGTTCCTTACACTAGGTATCAACTCAAATGAGAATATATTTACATCAACGTCAATGGATTTAATTACAACTTTTTGTTTGTTTGTCTGAGAAAGGGCCTCACTATGTAGCCCAGGCTAGCCTCAAACTCATGGTAATCCTCCTGCCTCAGCCTCCTGAATACTGGGATTAAGCCATGCACCACTGCACCCAGCTTTACTTACAACTTTGATTTCAGCCTTTGTAAAACAACAAGAACCACACCCGGCAGGCTGGCCAAATAGCTCAGGGGATTAAAGTGCCTGCAAACAGGCCCAGGGGTTGGGGGTTCAATCCCTGGGCCTGCTGTGCCAGCCCCACCCCCAGAGTGCGCTGAGACAGCATTTGAGACTGGACGTGATACCATGCACCTGTAATCCCAGCACTCGGGAGGCTGTAAACAGGTGGATCGTTATGAGTCTGATCTAGTAGTGAGACCCTGAAAACCCCGTAGATCTCCCCCCGCAAAAAAAAGAACCACACCAGGTAAAGTATTAAACTATACAATTTTCTCAAGCCATAGCAATTTCTAGTGTGCCCCTTCTATCACAGTTTAATGATCTAATATTATTACAGTATTTTGTACATGAATCCAAAATTTTATATTGGCTACTAGAGATATAGAAGAAGTCATAAAGCATTCCCACCTGCCAGAGCATCCCGATAAAGTTGCACAAAGTGACTGAAGATGTCTTTTGGCAAACACTTCTCATCTGGTAGACACTGTAGAAGAATGACTATCTCAGACTGACCCACTGCATGCATTCCCTTGGTTGTGAAACACCAGCACTTCCTATTCACATCTAAAAATGGAATAGCATAGAAAAATGTATTTTTTCTCAATCCTTACCCTCAAATATATAGAAATTATGTTATAACAAAGAATAAAATATAATATTAAGTCTGTATAATTCAATAAAAAACTATATAGAAAATAAAGCGTATCAATTTCTCTAGCTCTCTTCTCAATACCTAGAAAAGCAACTGGAAGGGGTGTAAACAAATTAATGGTGAGAGGAAAATACACTTAAACTTCTATTACTTAGAGGCATAATTATTATAAGAAATAACAGTATATTAATAATAAAATAAATAAAACCTAAGTAGACCAGAAACATTACCAGTCTTCTACCTTTATACCAAAACACATCACTTAACTAATGGAAATGATTACTTACATAATATCAGAAAGAACAACAAAACCAATATTACAGTTTTGGCTTCAGGTTATGCCCTAAAGGAAGTACATTTTATGGATTTTATTAAATCTATTCTATGACTAAAAGATACTAGGTAGTCCTTTCTGGAGAAAATTCTAGATAATCAACAACACAACTTCACTTAGTTGGGTTTTTTTTGTTTGTTTGTTTGTTTTTTGTCTTCTTTTGTGGTACCAGGGATCAAACTTAGGACCTTGAGTTTGCCAGGCAGGTACTTATGCCCCTGAGCTATATATCCCAAGGCCCAGACTTTACTTAGTTTTAAGCTGCTATAACATGATTTTAAAACAAGCTTCTCTAGACTGCTTACTTTTACTTCTTCACTTGAAGGCTGAGAAAAATCCAAAATTCACAAGCTGTATGTACGTATTAAAAAAAAAAAGTTCAATCCTTGAAAATTGTATTATTTATACCCTAAAACAATGGAATTCTCAAAGGAAATAAAAAGGATTAAAATAAAATTACACATACTACTTTTATATAAAAACTTGTAAAAGCTCTCTTTCACTTGAAAATTTTTATCATTTGAATCTAAATAGGACGTGCCTAATTCAACTATATTAAGATGGAATCTATTTCACTTTCAAGTAAGATTTTGTACTACAACTAACATTTCTGGGATTAAAACCTAGCATGTACATTGTTTGGCCCTCCTGAAAGATTTACTGACTCTCTGTTATTCTGGCAGTGAGCTGTGACTTAGCATATCACCATCTTGAGAACTCAACTCAGATCAGATCAAGAGTTGTATGACCACTCCACAGAGAACTCACTTCACCCCAGTGATTCAAGGCAAGAGTTTCAGTTAGCCACGCAGCTGTCTTCTGGGACATATTATTTCTATATCGACTTCTTCAAGACCCAGGTTTTAATTAAGATTCAGCTTTACTTACAAACATTTCTGTACAATAAATATGAAAGCTTTTTATTTACTATTTGTGAATCTATAAATTAATTCATTTTAATTAAAACAAGTACATTTCTAACTTACAATTTACAATTTTAACCACTGACAACAAATTTGCATTTAAAACAAACACAAGCGGATCAGGGCCACCATCTTCTAATTGCTGCATTACAGATATCTGTGATGGTTTCTCTTCCACAGCATAGTCTATAAGGAGAGAAACATTGCAATAGATTAGTTAAAAGAACAAAATGAGAAAGAAATCCTATGGACAAGGGGCTGATTATTCATAATAAAAAATAGAAGCATTTGATTTTATAGATATAGTGAAGACAGGTCCTGATTTTTACCTGTTGGGCCAGACATTATTCATGAGAATAATGTCTTTTACTTTGAAAAGGGACTCTGCCCAGTTTGGATGATAGTAAGTTTACTCTATTTATAGCCCTCTCTCCAAGTGCTTTGTGGTAAATGAACCCTTTATTAAGCAAAAAATTTCCAACTTACATAATAAGAATGACATATAACAAATGTTCTAAGACCAACATTTGAAATACTTCAACATACACAAAAAGTGATAATATTTACCTCTGAAAAGGATGTTAAGGAGTTGGAAAAAGAGAGTTCCTTTTTATTCTGTACTATTGTACTAATATTGTTGACCATTAAAAAATTAGACTTCAAAAATATTCAATATGAAATATCTTAAAGAACTTTTTTTTTGTGGAACCAGGAATTGAATTCAGGCCCCTGCACTTGACAGGCATGCACTTATTCCACTGAGCCATCTCCCCGGCCCCAAGCCATCTCCCCAGCCCCTCAATACGAAGTATCATAAGTACAATGTTCATTAAATAACTCATCTACAAACCCATAAAGTAGAATAATATATGATAATACCTATTTTTCAGAAGGTAACTGGTAATAGTATTGAATATAAAATAAATGAAAGTCTGAAGGTGAGATCAGGTAAAAGACTAAGACAAAGACGCAAAAGTACTAAAAGCTTTCTCCTGAAAATGAACTGACTGGATGCTGATCTGTATATATCAACAAACTCCACCAAAGTGAAATGTTCTTTTGACTGGATAATAATTGTACTTCCTAATAGAATTCCTTAAAAAGACATATATATACATACACATATCATATATCATATTTATATGTATGTATGTGTAATTTTTGGAACATTAAAGATCAAATCCAAAGCCTAATATACAGCTAAAAATATTTTTACACTAAAACTGATATTTAAACCTCCTTTGTACTTATTATATGTATCTTTTTGTCTTATTTCAAAATGGAAAGCTAAAATGAATGTTCTAATTGTATCAGGGTAAGTCAATTCTAAGACAATGAGCAGCACTCCAGAGTATCATGTTCTTTGAAGGATTTTTTAAAAAGCTTCTAACAAAATGTATTTACATTGCAATTAACATCATATCACCCCAAATAATGACATGACATCATAAGTAAGAATACGAACATCTGCCATAATATAGTACTTGTTTTATTCTGTTTTGTTTTGTTGTTTGGTTTCTTTGAGACAGGGGATCATATGTATTGGAGGCTGGCCTTGAAATCACTTTGTAGCCCAGGCTGTCCTTGAACTCACAGCATCCCTCCAGCCTCAACTGCCCAAGCTCTGAGATTACAAGCATGCACCATTACACTCAGTTGCTATCAAATAATTGGTAATAGCAACATCTGTTTTCATGACATTGGGATAGATGCTTTTTTGCTATACAGGAGATGAAGGGTTATCACTCAAATTCTGTCTCCTCTTCATCAGAAGGCAACATTTGGCATATATAATTAGCCTTGCTTAAATGTACAAATTCTACATACCTCCTTTCACACCAGTGGAGATAAGAATGGGAGGAAGGCCATCTTCAGGAATAAGATTCATTGCACTTCCAACAGGACTTCCAACCTGAGTTATATTCCCAGAGAACAGAGAAATATCCACCTAGGAAAATCAAACCGGCAAAGCGAGCATTATAGAGTGCAAGTTTTTTGTAGAATATAGTTAGTAATGTAAATGGGAATTTAAGTGAAAATTTGAAAGCCATACTTTTGTTTTGGTTTTTGAGACAGGGTCTCACTATGTAGTTAAGGCTGCCTTGAACTCACTATGTAGCCAGACTGGCCACAAACTGACAGTGAGTTCCTCCCCAACTGCTAAGATTACAGGCATGACACAACCAGCTGAAATTCATTCTTATTGAAAGACTGCTCAAGATAACGAAAATATTCAGTCAGCTTTATTCATAATAAAATAAAGAAAAAATCCTAATGTCCCACCAATAGGTAAATAGATGAAGTGTAGCATATCTATATAATGGAATACTCATCAGTGATTAAAAAATTAATTTTTTGCCAGGTATGGTAGTGCATGCATGTGCACCACCAGCACTTGAGAAGCTGAGGTAGGAGAATGACAAAGAGTTTGAGGCCAGCTAGAGCTACAAAGTGAGTTCAAGGCCATCCTGAACTACGTAGCAAGACTCTTTCAAAAAAGAAATTTTTGAGGTATACACAACAAAGATAAATTTTGATAAGGCTGAGTTTATAAAGTTAAACCTAAAACATTATATAGCATATTTCCATTTATATAAAATTCAAGAATAGGCAAAAAAATTTGTAGCACTTTTGATAGCTAATCTTTAAAGCTTTCAATGATACATACTTTGAAAGTGTACCTTAAGTTTGCTACCACTGATCTATGGTAACAAGTCAGAATAGTGGTTACCTGGTTGTGGAGGGGCAGGTATTGATAGATAAAGTATATAAGTAAACCCTCTGCAGTGGTAAGCTTTGTCTCTTCATCTAGTTCATATAGCTATAGATAATATAACCCACATATGTGTATACGTGTGTACATCAATAGATAGTGGTACCCTTGTTTGAGGGACTCTAAAGGACATCATATATCATAGAAAAGCCACTACATATTGCTGGCCCTTAGAAAAGAAATTGAAAATGAATGTGCAGCATCTTGATGACCAAGGTTACCCAAGCAGCAGTTGACCCCACCCCACTAATAAGTGTCTGGAAGTTAATGGCTGTCACATTTAGATTGATTTTTTTTTTTTTTTTTTACTAAGAGTCAAACTCAGGACCTTTTTGCTCACCAGGATAATGCTTCTGCTGCTGAGCCAAGTCCTTGGTCCTATGGCCATCATACTGATCACCTCTTGAAATTGTAGCAGCCAAAGGTAACTTGTATGACTCTCATGATGTGTAAATACATTTGGTATTAAAATATTTATATAAATTCTTTTCCTGTCATGTGTATATATTTTTGGACAGATTCTGTATATATCAAGTTGTCTACTAGAAGTTAATGCTCTTTAAGCACTTAAAGCACTGAAAAAATTTAAAGCTATTTTAAAAAAATATGTCTGTATCTTGCCACACTTTGATTTTTACTAAGTATAATTCAGGACTATGAGATTTTAGTGGGTTTTTGCTAAAATTTTCCTGGGTGGTTAATATGGAATCATATAAAAAGAGATTTGGATTTTTTTTTTCTAATTTTTTTTTAAAATATTTATTTATTTTTATTTATTACATTTATTTATTGTGTTTGTGTGTGTGGCCAGCTCAGCCCACCAGGGGGCGGGGCTGGCTGGCATGTGGTGCTGGGGGATTGAACCGCAGTCCCTTGTGCTTTGCTGAGCTTGTTCTAAGTAGGTGCTTTAGACCACTGAGCCATCTCACCAGCCCTGGATTTTTTTTTTTTTAATTTTAGTAAGGGTCTACAGGGTCTCACTACGTAAATCAAACTCATACTGATTCTTCTGTGTGCAGTCTCCCAAAGAGCTGGGATTATAGGCACATGCCACCAAGGCCAGTCTCAACTGCTGTCTCAGCGTGCCCCAAGAGTGGAGACAGCACGGCATACGGGGGATCAAAGCAGGTGCTTTAAGGGACCGGGGAGATGCCTCAGTGGAATAAGTGCTTCCTTGGCAAGCACTAGGGTCTGAGTTCAATACCCAGTTCTGCAAAAAAAGAAAAAAAGTAGGTGCTTTAATCCACTGAGCTATTTGGCCGGCTCCTGGAAAATTTTATTAATGAACCATTATTAATTGATTTGAAGGGCTGGTATAGGAAATCATTGATTCCAACCTGATATTTAATAATAAATAAATCTACCTGTTAATATCAACTGAAATGGTCATCTAGCATCTAATTAAATACCTTCTGTGAAAAATAATTTACTCCATTTACTAAGCATTTATTAAGTGTCAGGCACTTTACTAAGCCTGAGAGAGAAAAAAATTCCAGTCTAAATAGTTTGTTTTTCATCAATTTACCAAATAAATATTAAAACATATAAGTGAACAATGTAAAAGCACTGAAATAAAATAACTGACTTGGGGGGCTGGGGATTTAGCTCAGTAGAATAAGCACTTGCCTGGCAAGCGCAAGGGCCTGAGTTCAATCCCCAGTTCCGC